TCTTCAACAGATTTCATTTGTCTCTTGTGGTCCATTTCTGACTTGTGATATAGTCTCAATTGGCTGTGAAATTTACTAACTTGATTGTTAAAATCCCCTATGCCTTCACTCCCCCCTGACTATGTATTCTGATAAGCTACCATCCCCTATCCTGTTCCTTGTCAAAAGGCCATCATTGTAAATATGGCCTGAGGTTAGGATTTTGGGTGGTTCTTTACTTGTCTTCCATCTAGAGATGACACATGCCATTGCTCAGATGCTTAAGAGGGTATATCGCCTCCTCACTTCAAAGCTAGGTAGAATGCCCCATCCTCACAATGAGGCTGAGAATAAATGCCCCCCACCTCTTGTTGAAAGGTGAGAGAACACCCTCTTTTCATCTAAGGGACCACTTTAGAGTAACTGCCTCAAATCTCCAACCAGCAGAGTGATCATTGTCAGCCCTTAGACTCCATGATTGTTTCCCACTCTTGGCTGACACCTAGAGATACAGTATCAATGCATTTCTCTACCCTCAAAAAACACTCACTATAGTCTTCCAACCTTATTATTGTCCCACGTATCTTTCAGCCTTTTGTGGCTAAACTCTTTGAGAAAGCTAGCTACAATGGTGCCTCCACTTCCTCTCCTCTCTTCCTTTCTTCTTACATCTCTATAGTCTGGTTTCTGACCTCATCATTAAAACAAAACTTCTCTCTCCAAAGTTACCAGTGATTTCTTGACTGCTAAATGAAATGGTCTCTTGCCATTCTCCATTCTTCCTGATCTTTCTACAGCCTTTGACACTACTGATCCTTCTTCTCCTTGATATTCTTCTCACTACATTTTCATGGCACTAGTCTCTCTACCTTCCTATCTGACCCCCCTTTCTCAGTTTCCTTAGCTAGATCACCATCAAGCATGCCCCCTAACTGTGGGTGTCCCATGGATCTGTACTTTCTTTTGTCCTCTAGTATTTTATTTGGTGATATCGTCAACCCCATGAATTCAATTATCTCTATGCTTATAATTCTCAAATTTACTTATCTACTCTAGCCTCTTTGCCGACTTCCAGTCTCCCATCTCCACCTGCCTATCAAATATTTTGAGCTGGGTATCCAGTAGACATCTTAAATTAAATATGTTCAAAATTAAACTCAATATCTTTTCCCCCAATCTACCTCCCTTCCAAAGTTCTCTATTTACTGTCAAGGGCACCACCATCATCCCATTGTCCAAAGCTTGCAACTAGATATAATCTTAAAGTCCTCACTATCACTCATCTCCCATATCCAATCCAAGGCCTATCAATTTCATTTTTGAAACATATCTCAAATGTGCTCCCTTCTCTCTGATACTACCACTACCCTGGAAGAGACCCTCATTTCCTCACATCTGGACCATTGCAACAGCCTACTGGTAGATTTCCCTGGAACAAGTCTCTCCCCATTCTAGTTCATCCCCCATTCAGTCACCAAAGTGATTTTAAAATAAATTTAAAATAAAGTCATTCCCAATAGTTCATAATTTCATTGCCTTTTCTCTAATCATTATTTCCTACAAATCCAATATAGCTTGTTTGTACACAGTTATTTGCATGTCGTCTCTCCCATTAGACTGTAAGCTCAGCAAAAGTAGGGACTGTTTTTTGTCTTTCTTTCTTTCTCCATTGCAAAGAATCTCCAAGCACTGTGCTGGAACATAGTTGAAGCTTAATACTTAAAATGTATTGAATGACTCCTGTCATATCTCTCTCAGGGTCTGAACAGGATTTCAAGGATCCTTCAGCAAATTTTTAGGCTGGATAGAGGAATCTACCTCTTTTTGATTTTGTGATTCTTCCTATTTCTCTTTAGACTAATCTATTTCTAAATTCCATTGGGTTGTTTTCAGGGGATATAGGCTCATCTACCACTTGGTGTGCTGCCATCTTCCCAGCCCATTATTCTACAAAGTCAGAACTCTATTCCTACACCATAGATCTGATCATGTCACTACCCTGTAGTTCACAAAGCTCCAAGGAATCCCTGTTGTCTCTTGAATAAGATAAAATTAAAAAGCATAAATTACTACGTGCCATGCATTATCCTAAATGCTGGGAATATAATGAGATGGTAAAAAAGAAAGAGAGCAATACCTGATTTCAAGGAACTTCCACACCCAAACAACTAAATAACTAAGTATAAACAAAATATAAAGAGGATAAATGGGAGACAGTCAAGATATTGAAGGCACTAGTATTAAAGGGGATCAGGAAAGGTGAGGATGAGATTCTAGCTAGAACTTGAAGGAAGCCAGGGAAGCCATGAGACAGAGATGGAGGAAGAAAAATCTAGACATGGGAGACAGCCAGTGAAAATGCCTGGAGTCAGGAGGTGCAGTATCTTGTGTGAGGAAGTCAGGGTGATCAGATCACTGAGTAAATAGAGGGGAGTAAAGTATCTGAGAATTGGAAAAGTAGGAAGGGGCCTGATTATGAAGGGCTTCTAAAGCCAGAGGATTTTTTACATTTGATCCTGGCAGTTATAGAAACGCTTTTTGCATTTAAAGGTCTTCTTGTTCTAACTTTATCTTATCTTTCCAGTCTGATTATATACTAATCCAACTAATACATGATATACTCAACCAAAGTGTTCTACTTACTACCTCCTTTACTTTCCATCTCTTATGTCTATATCTGTCCCTGAGCCTAGAAAGCTCCCCTTCCCCTCAAGGGTCAGCTCAAGTGCCATCTACTTCAAGGTAACTTTCTCTCTCCCACAACCTATACATATTACCTTCTCTTATTTTGTATAAATCCTGAATTTATTTATTCATTAACATAGTGTAATTCACAGTAGAATCGTAAGCTCCTTGGGGAAGTCTCACTCTTGTTTGTATATTACCAATGCATTGTCAAAGTTCCTGGAACATCATGCTAGATGCTTAATATGCGCTTGCTGATTCATAATAAGAGTTATGCATTAAGAAGATTAATCTCATATGTAGCATAGATGAGAAGAGAAAAAAATGAAGTCAAGGAAGTTAGGAGGACATTACAATAATAGATAATGAAAAGTAATGAGGGTTTACCTGAAGCAAGGAATATACAGGATGTGACAGATAATACAGAATCAAAATTTTAAAATTATCAGATGGTAAGGTGAGGGAGAGTAGTTGAGGGTGAGAAGAATAAAATATGATGTAAAGGCCTAAGTCTGATAGACTTAGAGAATGGTGCTGTTAACAGAAACAGGGAGATGAAGAGGAGAATATGGAGGGTGGGCAGGTAGGTATGAATCTAAGGAAAGAACATGTTTGAGGCAAGGGTGAGATGTCTGGATAGGTGAAAATGTACAGGCAGTTAGAATTTTGGGTCCAAAGCACAGGAGTGATGGGGGAAGATTTGGGAAACATCTGCACAAGGTATAGATGAAGTAGTAGACTTTTACCTAGGGAGAGAAAAGACTGATGATGGAGTCTTTTAAAGCATGGAAATACCTGCTTCTAGATCATAAGAAGAAATGGGACCAGTGAATAAAACAAAAAGGGAAATAGGTTGTTTTTCTTTTGAGAAATCTCTAAATCATCTGAATTCCCCAAGATCACTCCTTTATAAGCTAAAGTTCAAGCTACATCTTCAGTATTGAGAAGGTATGAGCTCCTTTTAATGCCATATTTCCAAGAATTTTCAGCAATAAATGGGGATTTTCCTCTAGTGTGTGCATTTTTATTATGAATATGCAAATTAATAGGATCATAGAGAAGATCAATACTGGACAACTGGTCAATTAGAGATAATCTGATCAAACCCTCTTCTCCTGGGAAGGAATTCACTTAACCCATCAAGGTAGTCTAGTATCTACATCCCATTCTAATACTGTTCAATAACATACGTACATGGAAAGGGAATATTAGGCAGACTAATCACACTAGTCCCATTCTTTGCATCCCTTTCTCCACCAAAAGAGAAACCCAATAAAGCAAGTTCTTTTACCTTAAATACCTTAAATAGGGAAAGGTTGTGAGTTTCAAGTATGGAGAGTTAGTTTGAATTGCCTGGCTTACTGATTCAAATATCCACCTGTTTGTTTCTGTTAGCATATATGTGGTCTCAGTATCAATACCACTGGAACTACAAAAGTCAGGCAGTGTTCTGGATTCTTAACCAATTCCCCATTGCACACGATAGCACAGATTATCCTGGTCTGAAAAGTATCCATCCATAAACCTTACCAACTGAAGAAGGTGCATGATACTTCGCTCCTGGGAAATCATTTTCTCTAAATGATTAGCTTCTCATTGTTATGTATGAAGCCTCAAAGTGAGTTTGTATGCACAGTGATTCAATTATGAGGCTTGCAGGGGAGGATAAGTGATAGGAAAGGCCTCAAAATTGCAAATTCTGGTAAATAATCCTAATGGGTAATAAACAGGGTGAAGACCATAGGAAAATATAGAAGAGGTAGAAAAGTCTCCATTCTCCCAGAGGCCAAAGAGTTTTTTAACACATGAAATAATAGTTATGAGGAGCTAAACATTTCCATGAATTTTCCCCTACATTATTAATAGTTAGTTGGGGGTGGTTGGGAGATAAGAGTGTATTGTTCCTTATTTATGCATTATGTAAGTCTAAATTATATGATCTAAATATAGATGAATTATATTCATTTCTCCTACCCTGGATCAGCAATTGTTTCCTCGATAAAAGTAACATATCTTTGGCACCCTAGCCAGATCAAACACACAACAAATGTATTCTTCCTGTTCAGGCCTATGCAGCAAATTCCTTGTTTTGCTTTTATTAAAAGAAAGAATTTGTTGACATAATGGACATTCTCCAAGTAAGTCAAGCAAGACTGAGAAATCATTTTACTTCCCTCAGCAAACAACAATAATAATAACAAATTCAAATTTCCAGATTATGTCTCCAACCTTTGAATGGAGAAGAAAATCTAAATTTGTTTTGTAATGCTTTATAACTTGCTATATTAATATAAAACAGCAAATGAAGACAGACACTTCTTTATTTTGTTTTATTATAACATCAAATAAAGTTATTAGTTACAGAGGAAATGGAACTAGAGTTAAACAAATAGCTTTAATTACTTAAATATCACTGTCTTACATTTTCCTACATGGCTATAAATATCAAGAACTTGCATACCTGCATTTCATGTTTGAAATTCAGATGTGTAATGTGCAGCTGTCTGGGGGGTTTTGCTGATTAGTTTGTTTGTTCATGTACTTTTTTTATCTGATGACTGTAGAATTTTATTCATTATCATTAACTGTGAGGAAACTCTTAACATTAAGACTGGGACCCTGCCTTTTTCTTCTGGAATTTTCTGAATTGAGACTGTATTGTCACAGCTGCACGTTCTGTCTCTGGTGCATCCATGTCGATTTGAAATTCCTCTTGAACTTTCTTTTGTCCATCTGTATCAAGAAGACAAATAAACAAAGACATAATTGAACTGAAAATAAGACGATGGCAGGCCCTGAAGCCAAGACAAATTTAGAAAGGAAAATGAAATTCAGGGGAATTATTTTGATTACAATCAGAAGACAGACTGGGTATTATTACTACAAGAGAAAGAGGATACACCCAAGGAGTAATACTCAGGTATGAAATTATTACATTTAATATTTTCCTCTATATGTGATCTCAAGTATTTCTGTCTTTATAATTGTCATATCTGTATTTCTATCCCCAGAACTCCTTAGGAACACTTCATTAGTCTTATATGTTTGACTAAATATTTTAATCAAGAAATATTTATTTTATTAAATCCCAAATATCAAGCTTTTGATAAAATAGAACTCATTCTCATTAAAAACACCAGAAAGCATAGGAATAAATGTAACTTTCGTTAAAATGATAAGTAGCGTCTATCAAAAACCATCAGCAAGTATTCTATAATGGAGATAAGCTGGAAGTCTTCCCAATAAGATCACGGGTGAAGCAATGATGTCCATTATCATTGCTATTATTCAATATTGTACTAGAAATGCTAGCTATTGCAATAAGACAAGACAAAGAAATTGAAGGAATTAGAATAAGCAATGAGGAAACAAAACTATCATTCTTTGAGGACAATAAATGGCATCCTTAGAGAACCCTAGAGAATCAACTAAAAAACTAATTGAAACAATTAACAACTTTAACCAAGTTGTAGGATATAAATTAAACCTATACAAATCATCAGCATTTCTATATATTGCCAACAAAATCCAGAAGAAAAAGAAAGAGACATTACATTTAAAAGACTGAAGACAATATAAAAAACTTGGGAATCTTCCTGCCAACACAAACCCAGGAACTATATGAACACAATTACAAAATACTTTTCACATGAATAAAGTCAGATTTAAATAGTCAGAAAAACATTAATTGCTCATGGGTAAGCTTAGCGATTATAATAAAAATAACATCTACTAAAATTAATTTACTTATTTAGTGTCATGCCAATCAAACTACCAAAAAGCATTTGATACAGCTAGAAAAAAAATAATAACAGAATTCATCTGGAAGAACAAAACGTCAAGGAAAAAGACATAAAGTAAGGCAGCCTAGCAGTGCCAGATTTCAAGCTATATTACAAAGTAGTAATCATGAAAACAATCAGGTACTGGCCAAGAAATACAGTGGTGGATCAGTAGACTAGATTAGGTAAGTATTATACAATAGTAAATGACCATGATATTCTAGTGTTTGATAAACCTAAAGAACCAAGCTTTGGGGAAAAGAACTCACTATTGGACAAAAATCCTGGGAAAATTGGAACGCAGTTTCACAGAAACTGGACTAAACATCTCACAATGTATATGAAGATAAGGTCAAAATAGATACATGATTTAGACATTAAAAGTGATATCATAAACAAATTAAGGGAGCATGGAAAATTTTACCTGTCAGGTCTATGGGATAAGGGAAGAATTTGCGGCTAAACAAAAAGCAGAGAGGATCATGAGAAATAAAAAAGGACAATTTTGATTACATGAATTTAAAAGTTTTTTACACAAGCAAAACCAATGCAGCCAGGATTATAGAAGGAAAGCAGGTAACTGGGGGTAAAAAATTTTTAAAGCAATTTTCTTTGATAAAGACATCGTTTCTTAAATATATAGGGAACGGAGTCAAATTTATAAAAATATGAGTCATTCCCCAATTGATAAATGGTCAAAGGATAAGAACAAGCAGTTTTCAGAAGAAGAGATCAAAGCTATATATAGTCATATGAAAAAAACTGCTCTAAATCACTATTGATTAGATAAATGAAAATTAAAGCAACTCTGAGGTACCACTTCACACCTAGCAGATTGGCTAACATGCCAGAAAAGGAAAATGACAAACACTGAAGGGGATATGGAAAAATTTGGACACTAATACACTGCTGGTGGAGTTGAGAACTAGTCCAACCATTCTGGAGAACAATTTGGAACTATACCCAAAGGGCTATAAAACTGTACATACTCTTTGATTTAGCAATACCATGACTAGTTCTGTATCCCAAAGAGATCAAAGAGAAAGGAAAGGAACAAGTGTGTACAACAATATTTATAGCAACTCTTTTTGTGGTAGAAAAGAATTGGAAATTGAGGGTATGCTCGTTAATTGGGGAATGACTAAACAAGTTGTGTTATGTGATTGTGATGGAATATTGTTATGCTATAAGAAATGACAAGTGGTATGGTTTCAGAAAAACCTGATGAAAAAACCATAAGAACTGATGCTGAGTGAGGTGAGTAGAACCAGGAGAACACTGTACACATTAACAGCCATGTTATACAATGATCAGGTAGATTGAGGAGTGGGAGAATTTAGCAGTTGAGATCAATAGTAACTTTGGAGTGTGAAATTTCAGTAGAATGGTAGGTTGGAGGCTAGATTGAAACAGACAGAAATGAACGAGTGTCAGGAAAATTGAGAGAAATTGAGGCAAGAAACTAAGGCAAACTTTTTCTAGGAATTTGGCTAAGAAAGATAGAAGAAATCTAAGATAACCTGAGGAGATGTCAGGGTCGACTGAAGGTCTTATAAGGATGAAGGAAACCTAGGTATATTTGTTGGTAGAAGGGAAAGAATCAGTGAGTAAGGGAGGATTAAAGATAAAAGATAGCAACTGATTAAAGGGGCAAGATCCCAGAGATAAGATATTATAGAGTCAAGGGGGCCTCTTGGGAGACAGAGCAAAGATGGTCTAATAGCTGGAAGAAATACAGCCAAACTCCTTCCCCCAAGACCTAGAAAATGTTCCAGACCAAGTCGTGATCAGGAAATTCAAGAAAAAGCATGTCATTATGTTTCCAACCAGGTTAGCACAGAGATAAGCATAGAGGTCTGAGGAAAGGAGGATACCTCATGGAGTGTGGCAGCCTGCAGGAACTGAAAAAGGACCAAGGCTGTATATCAGGAAAAGGAGAGCTCCCAAATCCATAAAAGTGGGCCACATTTTGGCAAAATCATTCATGGATGCTGGAAGAGGTGTCAACTTGCAGCTCAGATGCTCTGTTCCCAGTTCCAATTCCCAAGACTCAAACCCAAGCCAGAAATTCAGAGTTCAGACCAAAAGGGCAGCAATGAGACTTTGCCCCAAAACACACCATTTTGGGAACATTGAAAATTTGCAGGTCCCTCATCTGAACGGTCCTTGAGATCCTGGAATTATACACAATTAATTAACCTCCAAGAAAGCAGCATAAGGACCCAAGAGGACATAAGCTCCGCCCACACATTCCCTTCAAAGTGCACAAATCCTGACTCTAAGGAAAAGTCTAAAGCCTGGAAGAATGAACAAACAAAGAAAAAATCCTACCATCAAGATCTAATATGGTGATAAGGTCACTCAAGGCACAAATCCAAAATAAAAGACTGCCTCCAAAACATCCATAAGCAATCCTTAAAGTTGAGGCACAAGTTCATCTAGAATTCATGGAAAAATTGTAAAGTTTGTTTTAAGAATTAAAATTTAAAAAATTAAAATGTAAAAAAATTAAGAATAAAAAAGAATTGTTTTAATTAAAATTAAAATCAAATGAGAGTGCTTAAAAAAATGGAGAAATGAGACTGATAGAAGAAAGAATTGGAAAAAAAAAGTTAATACCTTGGAACAAGAGTTATAAAACCTCACACTCACACTCCAGAAGAACCCAAATGCCTTAAAAATCAGAATGGACCAAAAAGAAGTTACAAATGACTTTTTTAAAAAAGTGAGAAAATTTAAGAATCATTAGAATACCTGAAAGGCATAACCAAAAGGAGAGCCTAGAAATCAAATTTCAAGACATTTTTTCAAAAAGCTTTCCAGATCTTTTAGAATCAAAGGGCAAAATGAAAATGGAAAGAATTTATTAGATATTCCATGAAAGAAACCCTTACACAGCTTCCTCTCCACACACAACCCATATGCACAATCTATGATGCAGCTTTCTAGCTGCCAATAAAAATCCCAAGCCACATAGGCCTGACGCCTCTGAAATATGGTGACTTCCTGCTACCATACAAGTTGCTGAACTCTGATGACTAACTAACTAGACACATTTCCAGAAGGACATGACAGGGACCATGCTGAGAGAAGCCAACTATCACTGTAGCCTTGCTATATATCTTTGTCACATATCCTTGTTTTGTTAGGGCAAAGCAAACCTCTTCCTTTGTTAAATGTTCAGTGACTCATAAGTGCCTCATTTTGTCCCAACATTGAACCTAAGCAGAAGGCACTGAATTTAGAGTTGCATCTACAACATTTGTCTGTCAGCAGGTAGGGATGAAATGAAACATTTCCTTTTTTTAATCTCCACTTTGTTCTATTTTTTTACAGTTTTACTATAAACTATAGTTTTATAGTTTTTATAGTATGAAAAAATTGCTTTGTACATGATGCATAACATTATAAACTCACAGACAACTCATAGACACAAAGGTTAACTCCTGCATCTATCACGTGTATACAAAAAGTTTATACTTAACATTAAAACCAATAAGCTCTCTCCCTCAAAATGTTGTCCAAGTTTTTCCAAGAAGACCTCTGATCTTCATGTTTGTCTTAGAATGCTCTGTCAAAGATTAGATAACAGGATAAAATTCCTGTGGGAAATATCAGAGGGAAAGAGAATGGGTGAGAAGCTATTCAAACTTTTGTTTTCTTTACATGTGGCTTGTTGTTTCCTTCTTGGGCTTATCAAAAACTACCCTGACCTACAAAGTTTCCTTGATCTCTGCCCCCAAATCCCCCTTGGCCTCATTTACCACCTGCTTGGCCACCAAACCCTCCATGGCCACTGCCACCATGGCCTCCAAAGCCACTGGGCTTGGCCTAATCTAGAGTTACTTTGTTTCCATCAATCTTCTGGTCTTCCATGAACTCTTTAGCGTCTTCTTCTGAGCTGAAGTCCATAAAATTGAATGCTTTAGATAATACTCTCTGTGACTATCC